CTGCTGGTGGAACATCAGTGACTTAACCAAGCCATGACTAACACTATGCCACGGTGATGATCTGACCAAAGCCCCGACCTGCGGATCGTTGTCACTTTCGCACAGGAACAACGGTGGGATTGTAAAACCCGCAGCCTTTCGGCCACAATCGGCTTGACCACACAAATGCAGGATTCTAAGCAGTACCAGTGCATCCTTAGCCGCGTTGGCTTCAGGCGATTGGCAACCGTTACACATAGCGGGAAAAAGACTTGGAAGATCAGTGCACACCACTTGCCTGATAAGGCCTATCCGCGCAAGCTCAAACAGGAATGCGTGAATTCCTTCATCCCTCACCTCCCTGTGATCTAGGCGGATCGTTCCCCATTTTGAAGGCACGGTTCCTACGTAGGCTTTAGGATCTCCAATCACAACAGCTATCCCTTCACACTGGCTTAAGGTGCGGCGAGTGCGACGGTTGAAACGTGGCTGTATGCCAACGGCTTCCATCCTCGGCTCATCGAGCACCTGCGAAAGAAGAGAGCTACTTTGAAGACCCACTAGTTCGGTGAGCCACGTCCAACGATCGGGATGCGGGCCCTTTCCTGCCAACAGCGCCGTGGCTAGACTTGTGAGGGGTACGTCTTGGCTAAGGTGCCCATTACACGCATAAGCCTTCACAGCGACCCCACTCAGCTTTTCTATCTTAGATATCATATCCAAGGCAAGCTTTGACGAAACCTCCGGGCAACCTGCCACCAGAACAACTGGCACCTTAGAGCCTTCTGGATCTCGCAACACAAAGCCTCCTGAGGTCCAACGAACCTGATACCCTAGGCTCACAAGCTGATGTAAAGCAACAATCGGAGCAGCTTTCTGCTGACTCAACGACGCTGGCTCTGCTAGCAGGACGCCTGTGCTGGCGATCCGAAGATTGTTTGTTTCCCCTGAAGCTAAATGCACTACCACTGGGGCGGCAGCTTCCCATTCTTGCAGACTAATGGCTTGTCGAAGTGAGGTTGTGGCACCACCGTCCAACAAACCCAAAACGGCGTCTCTAGATTCTTCGGCTTTAACAGCACACAGCTTGGATATCCTCAAAGACTTAATGGCATCAATGGCTTCCTTCACCAAATCATTTGAGGGCCCTGTCGCTGCAGCTGGTGCGCCCTCAGACTGCGAGGCCTGAGCTTCCGAACCCTCAGGAACCTCAACTCCACCAACCTTGCGAACTCTCTTCCGGGGACCCCGCTTAGGTTCAGCCTTAGCTGAGGCCTCTACACCCGCCTTATGGTCAGCGCTGCCAGCGGCAGTGGGTGGGCCTCTCCCTAGCACTGGGCACGCATTCCTCCAGTGCTCAGTGGATGAACACTCAAAGCACCTACCACTACCATCCTCAACAACACTAAGATCGTGATTGTATTGGCATGACCGTCCGGCGTTACACCCCTTTGCGGAACCCCAAAACTGACAGACTCGGCGATTGCTTTCAGGCTGGGCATCAGAAGGCTTGCCTTTAAGTCCTTTACCTTTACCTGCATCCTTGCCTCCTGTATTGTTCGCGCCCTTTCCTTTCCTGTGTTCTGGCTTCTCCTCCTTTCCTTCCTCCTCAGTGGCCTTGGCTCTCCTTACCCGCTGTCTCTTCTCTTCCTGAGAGAGCGCCTGAGCGCTCACCGCGAGCAGCTCCATCTCGGCATGAACCTGCCTCCTGAACTTTTCAACCTTCTCATGTGTTGGCACGTGATCTAAAGAGAGCTCAAGCTTCAGCACACTAAGCCTGAAAGCCAACTCCCTATAAGTGCTCGAACTCACGATTCCAGACACGATGCTCTCAACAGCCCTGAGCAGGAGTGAAGGATCGGGGAGGGAAACCTTGAGCTGCTCCGCACGCGATCTCCATCTTGAGTACTTCCTCAATTTCTCCAATGCTTCCGCCGGGTTCTGTGCAGTCCCTGGCTGAGTCAAGAAGTTCAACAGTGTCGCGCGCTCAGCAGTTCCTCCTGGCTGCCCTGCAACCATCACCCTATACAAAACATTCACCGAATTGAGAACCCTAGAAGCTAGGATGTCCTGTCTCAAGTTCTGTGGAAGCGAGGCCAACAGCATCGATGTTACTCGTTGCTCAAGCCGGGCATACTGCGGCTGGGAAAGCTCAGATCCTAAGGTTACTTCAATTTGTGCTCGGTGTAGCGGGGTAGCATTAAGCCACTGTGCATAGAAAGCTTCAGCCCTATCCTTAACCTTGACCCACCAAAGACCCGCTCCAGTACTAATGTCCCCAACTATAGGACCCACTAATGTTATCCAATCGCCCACTGCAATCGGTGCCTCATCAGTTCTCAGCTCCGAGAGCTGTGGAAGATCATGCCAGCGCTGCCATTGAGGCGAGTACCGAAGCTCCTGACGGCGGATTTCAGACGTTGGAGTTGGGGTTAAAGGTGGAGGCAACGGAGGCACCGGAGTACCACCTGGCGTGCGATCTACCCTAAACCCTATCTCTTGTCTCACCCCAAAGTCAGGTCCTAAACCACTAGGAGGCGGGGGTGGTACCGGGCTTGAGGAGGTATTAGGCACAACCGACTGCTCATCATGATGACGCGGGAAGGCTGTCTGATGTGACACCAGATAATTCGAATCCCTATCATAGCCCTGAGTGCTATACAATCCTGGAACCGACTGCTCAACAGGATACTGCGGATAAGGCATCGAAGGTACCTGGGGCAGAAATGAACCACCCGAACCAATGCCAAAACCCTGAGTGCATTGCATTCCTGGAAACGACTGCTCAACAGGATGGGGCGTAGGGATCGGAGCTACGTGGTGGAGTGGAGGACCAACTAACCCACTATAACCCTGAGTGCATTGCATTGCTGGAGCCGCTTGCTCAACATGATGTGACATCGAAGCTGGTCGGTACTGCGGAGGGCCACCTAAGCCTACAAACTCAACTAAACCCTTAGGCAACCCACTAAGGTCTTCAGGAATCTGCGGCGGCGTAAAGAAGCCTGATCCTCCTTGTACCGGCTCCGGCACACTCTGCTGCACTTGGTGAAGCTGCTGTGCGGGGCAAGTCCAACCGTGCCCTTCAACAGGAAGCGCTGGCCCCCGAATCCAGGAAGGCCCTGGGAGACTTGCCGAAGATTGAGGTGCTTGGGGCTGAACAGGAGGAGGAGGTGGTTGATTTAGCACGCTAGGAAGTAAAGTCCAAACTCCCTGTGCATTGAGGGCAAGCTGCCGGTAACCACCATCAACATACACCCATTTTCCAAGACCACCCACACTATTATCATTGTGTTCATTACTCACACTTGTTAACCCTGGGGGATCGCAGAAACTTGTCTGTACAACGGACGGGTTTCCATCCACATTTTCAGCATCTACTCCTACAGCTCTACCAGCACCACCTACCGCCGACTTCATCGACACTGAGGTTCCCGTATTCTGACCAGCAGCGGACTTCATTGACACCGAAGCTCCTGAGTTTCTTTCCGCCACTAGCGCATCTTCAAGGTCCTTGACCCGTTGCAGGAGCGCTGCAACGGTAGCCTGGCTAGGGTCCCTGACGTCAGAAGCTCTGCCTGCAGTAGAAGCTCTTTGCGAGAACATCTCCCCATCCAAACTCCTAACCTTTGTAGACTCCTGCTCGCGAAACGGAGTGTCACCCCCATCCGAACCAATCATGAAGTACTGAGCTCCTTGATGGTCCGGCTGTGTTGGTCCCGTCGGGGATTCCGTCACCTGAAGGGCATAGCTCCTGACTTCCACTTTCGTAGTCGTCTCACCACGCTCCAGGATCGACGCCTTGCCACTGGATCCCGGAGAGCTCGCTCCGAGACCCCGGTGCAAGAGTCTTGACTCACTTCTATCATCAAGTTTCCCAGCATTTTGCCCAGAAGATGCCATGGCTGGCTCAGAGAAGTCATACGGTGGATGCACGTCCACATCATCATCTCTCTCAGTAGTGCTAGGTAAGTCGCGCGGTCGGGACTGGTTCAACTGAAATTCTGCTGTAGCCTTTTCAGACCAAAAAGGATTTGGTAGAGGCTTCGAAGAGGCTGGGGCCTCACCATCAATCCCAGTCTGACTGTTGGCTGCTCCCGCTGCATCTTGGTCCTCGTACGAAGGCTCAAGCTCATCTCCTGATTCAAGTGGGACAGGTGTGTCAGCTGCCGTAGCACCGCCACTAAGCCCACCAGGAGGCACAGAGCTCGACTTTCTCCTTCTAGAAGCAAGAGTGTCCATGGCAACAGGGCACACGAAGGCTTGGGCTCATAACCCTCGAGTACGAGGGCCAGCCAACTGTTTTAGCAGCAGAAGCGAAAGCGAATAAGATCTAACTTGGTACACTTCTCGATTTAAAAAACGTCTTCTGTACGTGCCTGACTGTCTTCCTTGCTGCAGGGGCCATGCACCTGCGGAGTCAAGCGTGTCATCCTTGCAGCAGGGGCAGGGACATACACATCTGCGTAGGGTTTAGGGGTTTAAGAGTTTAGGGTTAAGGTCTAATAGTCTTACCTTAAGCCCTGAACCCATTTGTTTACGGGGTTTAGAGGCTGTGATGGTTTATGCAAGTCTTGAGGGCTTGGGGTTTCCGCCGAGGTTCACGGCCAGGGTTTTATGGGTTTATGGTTGACAGGGTTGTAGTTCTTTGTTCTAAGCTTCTCTGGGGTCAACGGAGTCGCAAACATTAGGTTTGAGGGATTCCAGGCGTAGGATTGGGTTTACAGGGCTTGCTTGAAGATCTTGTAAGGAGCTGGCTTTTTTTGGTACCTGTAGGGTTTCTTTGGGTTTGATCAGAACCTGCAGATCCTTGTCTACACCGTACCCCGCGGAAGAGCACCGTCACCTGAATCGAAGGCTCGGAGATGGCTACAGCGGCCAGGTGTTGCACATCCCAAACCCTAAACCCACCGACAAAAAACACGGTAAGCCTCCCTTAAGCCCACAAAAACAAAAAGGCCCGAGGCTCTGAGCCCTTAACCCTAAAGCCCTACAGTAAAACCCTAAACCCTTGCAAAGAGGAGATCTCTGGAGCATGAAGGAGCTGCTGATGTCAAGGCCGAAACCCGAAGGGCTGCTCCTGGGGCTTGGCGATGTGTGGGGCTTAGGGTTTAGGGGTTTAGGGAGGGCTAGGGTTTAGGGATGTGTTTGTAAGGGTTTAGGGTTTTGGGCTTAGGGTTTTAGGGTTTCTAGTCGAGCTCGCTACTTTGGTATCAGAAACCATCCGACCCCCCCCCCCCAGATTCTCATACCGTTAAGAAACCATTTTGCTTCAAGTAAACCCTAGGGCTGGAGCGTAATCCTAAACCTCACAGAACCCAGACAGCCCTAAATACCCTGAAGGTTAATCCTAAACTTTAAGGATGCTACAATCCGATTTTGCCTTGCCCACGAATCTTGCAGACCTTCAAGATGTTTTCAGAAAGCCCTCAAGCTCATAAAACGTTTTTTCAGATATTCCTAGAGCTTCAATCCCAAACCCTAGGGCTTGAATGCTAAGCCCGATGTGAAGCATAAATCCTATATCCTAAGGGTTCGTGGGCCAGGACATGGCTACGAACCGCCGTTTAAGACCCCCCGACCTTGTTCCATTCGTGGTTTTGAGCAGCACTTGCCTCTTCGAAGGTCCGGGTTCCAACTTGCCTTAAACCACGAATGTGATACGGTTTAATATATATATATATATATATATACATATATATATATATATATAATGATGATGAAGAGGTTTGGGGCTTGGGGTTCAGAGTTTAGGGTTTTGGGGTTTAGGGATGTGGTTGTTTGCGATCGGCGGAGACAAGGGTTCCGACGTCATGTTATGCGTATTCCTCCTTGGCTTAGGGTTGAAAGGTTAAGGGTGTTACTTAGGCGAACGTAGAAATACTTTTTAAATTTTGGTTATTATAATCCCTAAGAAACAGCTAAAATTACAAGTTTTGCTATGGTTCTAAGTTCAGTATAGGTTAAAGGTTTGGGGTTGTAAGGGTTGTAAGGGTTTAAAGGGTTCAGGGGTGCAGGGTTGGAGGCGCTTCAAGGATTTGGGGTTCAAATGTTTCAGGGTTCAGGGTTTTGCGTCTGAGGGTTTGAGGGTTTCATGGGGGTTTCACGGGGCTTTAGGGTTTTAGGTTTAGGATTTCAGGGCTTGGGGTTACCGGGTTGAGGGTCGAAGTTGAGGGTTTAGCGTTCCGTGAGCTCTAAACGCAAAGGTGCGGTTCTTGAGGTTTACCGTTTGATGTTTTTTGGTTGTTGTTGAGCGTTGGGGAGTTTCGTAAAGGACCAGGTGGATCAGGGGATCTCTGTAGGTGTTATAAGTATCTTCATTGGGTTTACAAGTACACGTAGGTATGGTTACCTGAGTTGTAACCCTACCCTAAACCCCAAGCCCTAAACCCTAAACCCTAAAAAAACCCTAAGCCCCCAGATCCTAAACCCGAAACCGCCCTGACGCTCCAAGTGTGGATGCTCAGAAGCTCGGTCTTTTTCGTTTTCGTTGTTGTTCGGCGGTCTTGTCTTTCGAAGGTCCAAGCGATGCTTCGGGGTTTATGGTTAAGTTTTTTTTTTTTTTTTGGGGGGGGGGGGGGGGTTTAGTCGTCTTTTAGGGGTTTAAGGCTTTAGGGGTTTAAGGCTTTAGGGGTTTAGGGTTCAGGGGTTTAGCCGCTTGAGGCCTGAAGGTCAAGCGCCAAAAACCCCGATGCGAACTGTTCGCCTGCGAAGGTCCGAGCTGGAAGTGAGCTGCCAGGCGGCTAACAGTGGCTGGCCAGTGCCTCTCGGCCCGAGTTTCCGGCCCCTGGGTTTTGGGGTTTAGGGTTTTGGGGCCAGTTTAGGGTGGATGGAGACTGGGGTTTAGGGGGTTTAGGGTTTGGGTTAAGAGTTTAGCGTTTAGGAGAACAAGGTTTTGGGGTGGATTGTTGTACGCTAAAAACGGGCTTGGGTAGCAGTGCGATTCGCCTTAAGGCCTGGACTTTGACATGACTTCTAAACCCATACAGCTTAGGGTTGAGGGTTCGGAGTCTGAAGCGATACCTTGCGGAGGCTTAGCATAGGGCTCTATGATAAATAAGAGTCTCCCCCTTGTGGTCTCTAAACAGTTATGATCTCGTGCAATATCTTGGAAACCTTTTGCAGCACGTATGTCAGGATGTTGGTTGGGGGTGGTGTTTGGTCTTAAGGAGGGCGTTCCTGCCGGCCGGCCCTAAAATCAAAGCCCATGAAGAACTGTAATTCCTCAAGCCTCGAATCTGAAATTCTTAGAGAGTGTGAAGTTGGAAGATCGCATTTTCCAGGATGAGTACGTACGGAGAGGATCGAGAAAGTAGAACCCTGTACATGGTACCCGATCCACTTAACCTCGAAGCCCCAGACCCTAAACTCTACACCCCGAACCCGTCCCATCTTACTCAAGGGTACCTTAATCAGAAGCCCTGGGCAGCTGCACCAAAGCCCGCCAAGGTATTTTGTAGTCACGACGCCTATGCCGAAGGCCCCGCCTCTACCTGCCACTTTGTTCGGCCGGAGTTTAGGGTTCAGGGACAAGAGATTTGGCGTCTGTGGCTGTTGATTTTGGAGGCCTTTATATCCCTGTTCGCGGCATTTGTGCCTTGGGGTTTTCTGTCTGGGGTTTCAGGGACAGCGATGACCTTTCTACGATTGTTGGTCGGGGTGGAGGCAGTTGGTGCTTGAGGTGGTAGCTGGTAGCCTTGCACTCGGGTGTTCTGCTGTGAGGGATTTGGGGATGATTTGGATGTGTACTGTACGTGCTTTTTGGTGGGGTTTAGGGTTCAATTAGTAATGTAGGGTTTAAGGTTCCAAGAACTGCTGAAGCTCAGGGTGTTCCTTGATGATCTTTAGCCAGCCGGTGCCGGTTCGGGTTACAACCTGGCGTACCACCGCTCCCCTGGACGTTCATGATGTGGGTAGGGCTCTACTGTAAATTAGGGTCCCCGTTTAGGTCGCCAGTATACACCCTTATGAAAAGCACCCTAGAAGGGACCCTGCATTAGAGTCGTTAGAGAAGAACTACATGCGGTAGGATTGAAGGAAGGATGCACATGCAGCCGGCTCTTGAACTCGTGGTGAACTCCAGTAGACTCCGGGTGCCGCTGCCCCGAAAGGCTGAAGTGAAGCCATGTCAAGTGGTCCTGTGCAGAAGTTGTACCGCAGACCAACCCTCAAGATACGGCCCCAAACCCTAAACCCTGGAAAGTCGTAAACCCTCAGAATACGGGGCCTGCAATGCTACAAGCCCCGGAATCATGGAGCCATGGCGCTGTAACTCCCGAAAGCACAAACTCGTAAACCTAAACACCTGGGTCCTTAATGAACCCTTGAACCCTGAATCCCTGAACCCCTGAAATCTTAAACGCTAAGCCCTCAACAAAAACAAAGTTCAATTTCCTAAATCCTCCCGTAAGTCTGAAACCTTAACGTCTCAACAGTCCCGAAAGCATCAACCAAAACCGACTCTAGGCCAACAGCCTTAAACTCCAACACCCTACACCCGCACCTTGCAATCCCAAAGCCGCAAGCCCGCCCGCAACTCTTGTACCCTCTCCTCAAGGCATAGTCCGCCCACCTAATGATCAGTACGTTAGTCCCCCCCCCTGCCCCTGCTCTGCCTTGCTGCCCTGCTTTGCCCTGGCAAGCCCTTCCCTGCCCTAGCAACCCTAAACCCTAAACCCTAAGCCCTAAACCCTAAACCCTAAGCCCTAAACCCTAAGCCCTAAACCGTCAATTCTAAACCCCAAGCCGCCCCCCTGGCAGGCAACGGAGGCCTTCCAGCGCGCCTTTGCCAGCGGCTTTGCCAACATCGCAGGCGGGCTTTTTTTGTGTCCTAGGATGCCCAGTGGTGCCCTTATTCCCTTTTTGTAGTCCTAGGTTCCTTATAAAGTTACCCAATACCAAAAAGAGAGGCCTTCTTATTCTTAGGTTACTGGGTATCCTAGTGTCGGACCGGGCAGCAGGATTGGGATTTAGAGGGTTTAGGGTTGAGGGTTTAGGGGTGTCTGGGAGTACTGTTCAATTATCGCCATCCATGGAGGGTGGCTGTGTTGTTGCCGGGCATCTTGCTGTAGCATATTGAGTTTCGTACCAAGGCTGTTGTCGCGGTGTGAAGGTGGTAGCGTCCGGCCATTTGCGAGTTCTCTTCTTGCGGTTCTTGCAAGCAGTTCAAACACAGGGGTCGGAAAAGTTGGTGATAGGATTCCCTTAGAGCCGCAACATCCCCCAAGACGTTTTTCAGTTCACGAAGGCCCCTACAGTACCTGGGTAGTTCAAAAAGTAGGGTAGGGTTATAAGTCCCTTAATGTGGGTTATAAGTATAGCTACCCATCCCATCCCCCAACCATGAAAACCGCCAACCCCAGGCCCTAAAGAAACCGTAGTTTCAGCCCTTGATGAAAGCTTGTAGATGGTAACAATACCAGATGCTTGAAAGCATCCAGCTTCGAGCATGCATCTTGCAAAGACGTGCATTTCACGAATTGCTGCTTCTTTTGGCCTTTCCCTGCGCCTTAGATTACTCTAAAGCCCCGAACCCTAGAAACTAAAACCTGCCATCTAAACGCTAGAGTGCTTTCGTGCAGCTTGCGACATCCATCCACGAGGGTGCATTGACCTTCAAAATTTTTCAACCCAAGCAGCTCCAAAACAGAGTAGCACATAGTTGCCCACAGCGATAGCCAGTGACAGTAGCACTCTTGTCCAAAGACCTGCAAATCACAGTCATGCAGCCCCCGAACCCGTCACCCGGAACCGAAACTTCAAACTAGACGAAGCATCTTCAAGGAAGACGGCCAAACTCCTTTTTCCAAACGCCAAGCCCCCGATCCCGAAATCCGGAGCGCGTGACGGCAACCACACGATCGAGATCTTAAATTTGTAAAGCCCAAGCAGGCTCCGCCCCGAAAAGCCCAGCACCCCCAAACTCCACTCCAAACTTTAAGCCCTAAACCCTAAAGCCTTAACTCTAAACCCTACACCCTAAACCCTAAACCCTTAACTTGAAACCCTGAGGCTTCGCGAGCTTGATCACCTTTATGGGACAGGCGTTTCACCTCTTC